CAAAATGGGAATCGGGCGTAATGCGAACCGACGTGTGCGGCAGCCAAACCTCATCATCGCGATTGTAACTATCTGTTCGCATAACACAAACTAGTGCAAAGTGCTCCAAATATGAGCTAGAAAAGTCAATCTTGAAAGGAAATTGTAACTCAAGCGGAATCTGATGTGAGTGCCGGAATTTATGCAGAGTGCCAAATAATGGGAAAACAAACAGTTTGCGGGTGGGGCTGTACTCGGTTAATGTGGATTTGCGGAAACGAAGAGCGGAAGTTCGTATAAGTGAGCTGAAAGCATTTCGCTTTCGATTCATAACTAATTGTGGAAAGATATGTGTATATACCACAAACTGTGTGAAAAATTCGTACTCTTAGTGGAAGCATAAAGCAAATAATTATATGGAAAATTGTAGTTTATCAGAATTATTTAGTGATGCCTGAAATATCTCAGGAGAAATAAAAGTTACTTGGAATCTGTTCTCAATGAAAATAATAATATTGAATATTTAATATTGAATAATATTGACAAACTTAGTAAGTTGAAAGAGTGTGTTGAAGGAGGCTAATATTTATATGAAATTTCATTGTTTTATTTGTTTATTTATTCGTATTTTTTGCTTAGCCAAATTTATGAATTCCTTCCGCACTTTAAGCACAATTAAAGGGAACGTAGCCATAAAACTATTGTGGACTGGAGTAATATTTTTCAGCATATAATATAAATTATACCCTCAATGCATATTCATTCATTTAATTGAAGTCCAAGAGATAATCTATATGCGGACAATGATACTAAACTCTTTCAAGTAGTGAAATGGCAGAAGTATTTTATATTTCTCTCTTTCTCTCTTTCTCTCTCTCTCTCTCTCTCCCTCTCCCTATGAGTATTTCACCACTAAATTAAAAACTAGCAGATTTATTTTGCTTTATTTATTTACAAAGATTTTCTGCTCTGGCTTAAAACTTGTTATTTAGAATTAATTCTTTGTAACAATAAAAAAATAAATAAAATACAAGGATTTTAACGATATATCTTCTATATATGTATTACATATCGTCGTAGCTTTCAGTAAATATTCATTAGCATTTGAATATGTATTTTGGTCAGCTCCTTTAAAGAGGAACTTGAAATGCTAGTGTCACGCCCACTGTTATAATGGAAAATTATAAAAATCGATTCGTGAACAAAATTTGCTGCGTTCGAGCCATTGGTAATTATTATGCTGTCGGTCGCGGCCAATTGCAGCGCACTCGATGAGTTGGCTAAACGCTGCAGGCTCTAGAGTAAATAGCATAACGGGAATGCAGGCTTATGTCCCGGATTGGTGTATTGCCCATGCTAATTTAAGCTCTCTGCTAATTAGCTCAATTAGAAAGAGTTAGTTGAATAGTCCGAAATTCCGACAGTCTCTCACAAAGGATAAATATTCCATGGAATACGTAAATACTCGCAGGAATTGTGGCAAATTTAATAGCTTGTTATCCATAATTTACGAATTATGAAACTTCATTAAAAAGTAAGTGCGTAAATTGTAATATAGTTAAGTTTTAGCTTCCGCAATTTATCTAGCTTACGCGAAGCAGCTAATAAATTAATATGCTCTCTCAGGAGTTGAACAACATGGTTCCATTAGTGCCTTAATTAGATTAGGTGAGCGCTGGCATATCCTTGTTTATAATTTTAATGGGGATAGTGGTGGATAGGGCAGCCTAGCTAAGTGCTGTCGAGGTAATAGTATGCAAGCCAGAAATGTTAAAAGTCAGCAAGTATTTAAATTCATTCGCATTCACCAGTCGCTGTGCGACGATGTAAGCATTTTCATTTTCCATTTTATTTGACATGTCAAAGAATTGCATTTTCACAGTTTGTTAACTTGTCGCCTGCTGGTAACATGACAGCTTTATAAAGCGCAATAGAAAATACATATATATGGGCATATGTACATACATATATTTATATGGCCTTGCCAGGAAATAAAAATAGGGAAGCTAAGCAGCTAAATGTATGTACATAACATAGATCCCTTAGATCCCCTCTGCGTAGGACTCTGGGAGTCTTAGAAAGCAATCCTCTTATTCGTTCGCAAAATGCAGGGATTTATTTGAAATGTTTGCAATAACATCATTCGCAGCTCAAGTGCCATTTGGTGCCTTGCAGCTGAAGTAAAATATGGTGCGACACGGATTAGGGCAAAAAGCTAGAAGGACACGCCACAACAACAACAATAGCAACAGCTACAGCTACAGCAACAAGCAAAAGGCACAAGTCCCTTGCGTGCATTTCACGTTGCAAGTTAAATGAATGTCTCCTGCCAACGGCCGGAGACAAATGCTGGTGGCAACAGCAAGTTCCACAGCTGCTGAAGACAGTCTCAAATAAATGCAGCTAATAACAGACAAAGGCGCATACCTCACGACAGTGGGCAGTGGGAGAGACAGAGAGAGCAGAACAGGGAGTGAGGGTGAATACATTATGTTTGTAATGGCAATATAAATGCTTCCCAAGAAGCCCTCACAAATGAGATGTCAGCTAGAAACGCAATTCAACTTTTGTTTTTCATCGGAAGGCGAAAACTTTTCGCTTACTTTGCAATTTACGTGCGTTCCTTGGTAGGGCATCCCGAAACATACTTGGCCATATGGCTGTTGGCATCGTTTCATTTGACATTCATAGAGCCTCTGACAGGTTGACAGATGGACAGCGGCACGTAGATGCTCTGTGGAAGCTGCTTTAAATTTAATTAATTAACTTACAGTTGGGCTTCTTTTAGTTAAACATTGAAACCCTTTTGCCTTAACCCACTTTTGCTTTTTTTGACCACGAAAAACGGGACTTATGCTGTCCCAAATCCAATTTGTCAATTCACATTGTTGGCTCAGCCAAAATTGAATTAATTGTTGGGAAAAATATAAAAATCATTTTCTTACTACACTTTGAAAGAGCTTTTCTCTAGCTGAAAATCACGTTCGCAGCCAATTAATAGATCGAGCCCATTCATAGGCCCGAGCTCTGCGAATGAATGTATTACATTTCCCTTATCAAATTGAGACATTTCTCATGCTTAAGCCCAGCAGTTGCTGAAAAGGCAATGGAAATGGCTTTGAAAGGCGAGGAAGGCCCTCGCACAGTTGCCAACATATCAGATAAATCACAAACGCGGCTGAGCCAAAAATGGCAGAGCTAAGAAGAAAAATGGGTTAGAGTTTTATTTTTTATTTTTATTTTATTTTTTTGTGGGTGTTTTTATTTATTTTTATGTTACATTTTGTTCTTTTTTGTGGCATTTAAAATCTTTATCACGCAGCTTAACGTGGAATGGTGGTAGGGTGAAAATGCAAATAGACCCACGCATTGCGCCAGCTACGTTGACAGCTTGAAAATTATTCAAATTCATGACAAGTTCTATGAACTTGAGGCTACTTTACATAATTTTCTTGTCATCAACTTTGGAAAAAGTCATTTCGTAAGCGTCCCACAGAGATATAGCCAAGCAACAGCTAAAATAAAAGAACACTTTATAATAGAAACTAAAACAAAATTTTAGAATGAACTTGAAACAGCTTCGCAGGCATGAAAACTCAATTTTCATCCTGTCGCCCATCTATGCGACTCTCTGCAAATGACTAACCGAGACTGAGCCTGTTTCTGCGAAAAAAAATAATACCAAAAAACAATTGGTCAAACTTTGTGTATAACTTTGTCATTCTATTGTTGCCTTGTTGAACATTCTTAGCAATTGTAAATATATTGTTCCTTTTTTAGCTTTTGTTTTTTCATGGCGTATCTCTTGAGCGCCTCAGAGGACAAAAAATCCTTATGAGAAATGAATCTATTTGTAAACTTTGATGCACACAGCAAAGATTGGTGAATTGTCAGCTGCAAACTTGAAAATTGCATTTTTTCAGCGATTCTGTTTTCATGTTGTCGAGGGAAAGGAAATCAATATTTCTATTTCTAGAGAGCATTAACTCTTTTGGGATGCCTGTGAGTCCCTCGAGTCGGGCGAGACAGCCAACCCATTTGATTTACAGACAGCCCATTAATCGCGTCAACCGATTGTGCTGCATACTTTGGGGAATCTGAATAATGTGCTGATGTTGCCCAGGAGGTCTCCGTCGGTTCGGTCTCGGTTTATTGATGTTGATAAGTACACGCTCATCTGGTGCATAAAATTACGCAATTATCTTAAGCAATTGTGTTCATTTATAACCCAAGTACAAATCGAATGGATTCTAACTGCCGGCCTGTCTGCTATATAAAAGAGATGCGGCCCCCATTGCGTATACGCGACAGCTCAGATAATTGGTGTGCCTTCTGCATCGCCCATTTCACGTTGTTTGTGTATCGAAAATGCTTAGCATGGCAACACGTCAAAACGGAACTTTAATTTAAGACGGAGCTTCACTTCGCCCGACATTGAGGGAGCTCCGCATAATTGATGACGCAAATGGTGTAAATAGAGCTTCAATGAGTTCATAGAAACCTAAAGTTAATTATAAGATTCACTTCAAGCTAGAAATCGCCGGCCTCTGATGCTCTTTTCTACAGAGATATGAAATTAGTTTTTAATATTATTTTAAAGTTGAAGACTTTATAAAGGAAAACAGATTGTGAAAGAGAGAGATATTTAGCTGGCTTATAAACTTGACGAGCAATAACTTAAACACACTTGGCAGGGTATTCGAGGTGCGGTAATGTCCTAATTATTTTCGATGCTGTTGTTTGCATAAATTTAATGCAGATTACATAACAGTGAGTGGAATTTATAGGAAAAAAAAAAAAAAAAAAACAAACAACAAACAACAAAAATGCAGGCTTTTTTTTTCCAAACAAACTTTTTTAATTAAAATCAGTTTCTGCTCTTGCCATGCTGATATGTATTCACTATACCTATAGATTGCGAAGAAGTTTACTTAGAAATATAATAAAAGGAACGGATGAAAAACCTAAACGCTTTATTTTCGTTACTATAAAAATAAGTCATAACTTAGCTCGAAGTCTTATTAAAAAACTGGAAAAGTTTTATAGAGCAGCTCAGCCGTTGGTTTATCACCAACGAGGCTCAATCCCTTTGGCTCACGTCGAATACCAAAAGCGGGCTAAAGTTTTGGCACAAGCCAAACGGCTGGCACTGCACATCCTTTTTTTCGATATATATATACATATTTTTTTTTTGGCTTGGGCGATAGTGACTGCTGTGTATTTATAGTCAAATGGCTTGCTCCTGTTTGGGGGCGTGTGGCATGTGCGTTGGAAGCAGCACTTAAATCACGCTCAGCACACACGCATAGCCGAAATAAATGCCCAGTTTTTGCATGGCACTGATTAACATGCTGTTTGTATCTGTTTTCTCCCCTCCCTCTCTCTCCCTCTCTCTCACTCCCTCTCTCTGTGTAGATTATCGTCATGAACCGCACCGAGCTTGGCAGTCATATTCTGAGCTCCGCCGAGTTGTATAAAGTACTTTCGAGCGACGCCACATTTGATACGATTGGGGAGAGTCGTCATTTGGTTAATTATCCTGGCCTTGATGCAGGCAGTGTTTACACTACGAACCACAACTACGACAAACTCAAYAGCAACTACGAAGACAGCAGCAGCAGCAGCAGCAACAACGACAACGACAACATGACAATGTTGCTGCTGAACAGTACAAGCAACGGGAGCTATGTGCCCGCCGGAATGGACCCAGTGCTGATGGACCAATATCTGCACAACCGTTCCATCGGCAGTCCGTGGTACCACCTGCTAATCGCCATGTACGGTGTATTGATTGTATTCGGAGCCATGGGCAACATAATGGTGGTAATTGCAGTACTGCGTAAACCAATCATGCGCACGGCCCGCAACCTCTTCATACTCAATCTGGCCATATCGGGTGAGTTGACAATGTGCTTGTGTGCGTGTGCGTGTGTGTGTATGTGTATGTTTCTGTTATGTAAGCTGAAATTTCGCATTTATGATGGCCTCTTGTTGGATATTTGCAGACCTGCTCTTATGCCTAGTTACCATGCCGCTGACACTGATGGAACTCCTTTCGAAGTTCTGGCCATACGGCTCCTGTGCCACCCTGTGCAAAACGATTGCCACTCTGCAGGCCCTGAGCATATTCGTGTCCACCATATCCATAACAGCGATTGCCTTCGACAGATATCAGGTTGGTAGCCTCGTTGTACATTAACCATAATCATTGCCAACTGCTATGACAACATCCGAATCATCCGAAAAATCGATAGAGGGCACATCGAAGCGCTTTGTCGTTTCTAATCAAAAGTCAAAGAGCGTGAAAGAAATTGTGTGTTCCGGGCGCAATGTGGCGAAAGGCTTAGCAAAGATAACTATAAAACTGTTGAGGACAACGCTAAGCCAGAACACAACAGTTCTCAGATAGCCTTTTACCCCCTCCACAGTGGCAGGCAAAAGTTTTAGCATTGCGATGGTAGCTTGGTTACAACTTTCAAAGTTTCCTGTTTCCCGTTTCCTGCTTCCTGCTTCCTTTCATGTTTGTCATAGCACTTATCTGTTCTATTTTTAATGTCTATAGATAAAAGTTCAAAATGGCATTTTTAGATCGTCAATTAGCGTGTAACCAAGCAGAATGATTTCAGCTCCGCTGCATGCGTTAGTTTACATTGAGTACTTGACTTATGTAAGGCAGTTTCTTATAGTTGGCAGATGAATGGGGTAACTTGAGACAAAGTACCTTAAGGCCAATAGATACGTATTCATTTCTTGAAACTTTTACCTTTTTACCACACGAATTGCTCACCCGTTGTCCAGGTAATTGTCTATCCCACGCGGGACAGCCTGCAGTTCGTCGGAGCTGTGACCATACTGGCCGGCATTTGGACTCTCGCCCTGATTCTGGCCTCGCCGCTGTTCATCTACAAGCAGCTGATCAACATGGACATGCCGCTGATGCTGCAGAAGTTCGGAGTGCCCCACAGGATATCGTACTGCATCGAGGACTGGCCGATGAGCGATGGCCGCTTCTACTACTCGATCTTTTCGCTGTGCGTGCAGTATCTGGTGCCCATAGTGATAGTGTCGATCGCCTACTTCGGCATCTACAACAAGCTGAAGAGCCGCATCACCGTGGTCGCCGTGCAGTGCTCGTCGCAGCGCAAGACGGAGCGGGGCAGGCGGATGCAGCGGACGAATCGACTGCTGATCAGCATTGCGATTATTTTCGGGGTCTCGTGGCTGCCGCTGAACTTCATCAATTTGTACGCGGACATGCAACGGCCCTCGGCCGTCACGCAGAGAATGCTTGTGGCGTATGCCATTTGCCACATGATTGGCATGAGCTCGGCCTGCTCGAATCCGCTGCTGTATGGATGGCTCAACGATAACTTCCGTAAAGAATTTCAAGAACTCTTGTGTCGTTGCACTGAATCCACTAATGTTGCTCTCCATGGTCACACGACAGGCAGCAACGTCCAGGCAGCTGCGACGCGTCGCCGCCGCAAACACGAGGCCGACCTGTCCAAGGGCGAGCTGCAGCTGCTGGGTAAGAGCGCCAAGCGGGGCCTGGCGACCTCCGATGGCGACTGCCTCGGCGGCGTTAGCATCGCGGCCACCGACTTTAACGCACGAAATGGAACGCGCAGCGCGGTCACCGAGTCTGTGGCTCTCACCGAGAATCCCATGCCGACGGAGCTGATCATCCTGGCGCCGCCTTAAACAGACCACAAATCCGCCTAATACTAACCCAGCTAAACTAAGTCCCTGCCTAAGCAGGAGCAAGCCAGTCTCTGTGCTTTGTCGTACGTATATGTATTTGCATATGTATATGTATATGTAAATATTTGTAAATATAAATACGAGACACTGACATTGTGCAGGCCGTGCCGGAGCCCCGGAGCTCCCAGATAATTGAATTTGCATGCAAGACGTTTGTGAGAGGCAATTGAAACAGTGCCGCAGGTTGCATGCATTTGCATTTGTATTAGAGATTCTGTAGCATAATTTTCATTTAAGTCGCAAGTAAACAAAAGTGCATCTGATGTGCTTTTCCTAGAGACCATTTCAACATTTGTGCACACTTACAGCTTTGCAACACTACTAAAATGCCAATTTGCAGTGTTGAGCACAAGCTCAATGCATGCCGCTCTCCCCCTGGGCAACTATGCCTAATGCCAACTGAGTTACCCAGAACTTTGTGCATCGAAGCGGAGCGAGGAGCAGGAGGAGTGCAGCAACCAAAATCCAAATTGAAATCCTAAATTTAAACTTAGTTTTAGAGACTTACGAATATTGTGTGTAGGCGTAAGCATCTATGTTGACTGAACGAAAGCAAAGCTGAGCTAAATATAAGTCTAGGCGGGATAACTGTACTCGCAGCTGTAAAACGTACTTGTAGATCCTTTAGCTCTACATATATGTATATTAAGCATCATTAATTATGCAATATAAGCACACACACACTACACGCAGCACACTTAGGTTTCATCAAATACTGTGATTTAATTGAACGAGCCCTTCAATTAAATTTCGGGTAATTGATAAACACAAACACAACTCCTTAGATGTAAGCAGAGATAAATGTGTATGATACACATATATGTGAATATATATGTGAAATATGTAAAGTATGATTAATTATTCAACTTTGTTCCTATTTACGCTTTTCACTCTAAGGCTTTGTACGTACTTCGCAATTGAACTTATTTCCTTGTGTTATAAATTTATAATATATATATACATATTCATAGTCAATGTAACTTAACATGCAATGTGTCCATAGTACTAACGACGTGTCTGTTATACTTAATCTCAGCTTAAGCTCAACCAATAATGAATTCCGAGTATTTGCTGTTTGGCAACGAATATTAGATAAATAAATGTCTTAATTAACATTGCTTGTACTTGTTCTTCCTCTGGTTATGCAAGGATTATCAATTCATAGTTGCTCATTTCGCTGGCTTCTCGAGTTCCATTGGCTACGCTGATTATAGTCGAGGGCGCCCAATGAACAGTTGCAGTTGCGAGAGGAATTCGTTGAGCACACATCTATCAAATGCTTGTTACGCGCAGTTGCTCGAGGTAAGCATTTTAAGGCATTCCGTTGATTTGTATGGCTTTATTTTTCAACAACTTTATATATATTTTCCGTGCACCCTTTTGCCAATGGCTGCAAATGTCAATTCGCTTTTGACATTTATGATGGAAATAAACGCCGAACACAGTGCAGTCGAGATTTGATTTGGTTTACACAGCAACAACTCTGCATAATCAACGTAAGAGACATTTGCGGGATTGTCCCAGAATTATTCTTTGTTGGTTTTTGAAATAGGGTCAGACTCTTGGAAACCTCTATCAGCAATCTTGTCGGCCAATGGAAGGAAAATGGATCCATATAGGTTCTAAGTATTGTTTTCTCGACTTGATGGAATCAATAAAGGATTAAAGAAGCAAAGGGTGCACGCAGAGCAAAAATTGTTCCTACAAGAAAATAATTACAACAAAAAAACATTGGGTGATTACTTTTGCCTCAAACTGTACTCATGACTGAGAAATTGTTTCTGAAATATACATTCATACCTCGAGACGAAGAGAGCAAGTGCCACTTCCGCCTCGAGCACTCTTCACATCAAATTCCCACTTGATTACAGCATGATGTATGAATTTAATAACAGTCTAAAGGTAAAAGGTAAAACAAGATACATAAAGGCATTTTAATACAGACATAAAGATGCTGGGAAACACAAGTTCTAAAAATGCTAATAATATAAAAATAAAATGTAGCAGAAACATGTTTATATAACATTTTCTTGCATTCATTCTGAGACATCGTCGCTGACAGCTGGATGCTAATTAGGAATATTTAAGGTTTGTCTGATATTTATGATTATACATACATTCAGACATTCGTCATTTAATTATTGTGGTCTGTATGCGGCTAATGTGATTTATTTAACATACATTACGCAGAGCAGCTCGTCTGGCCATACACCTGGTACACCTTTAACATTTGGCACTCGCTGGCGCCCTTTAAAGCAGTTGCTGTGGCTGTTGTCGTTGGCTCGACTTGATACGGAGTCAAGCAGCCAAGTAGGAGGCATAACGTTAAGAGCAATGGGCCATTAAACGGCCCAAATGTGGGCCCACAGTGATAAATATAAATGCGAGCGTATGAGAGTCTATGGGACCTACATATGGATACTTATGTGACAGCCGAAATACGGAACAGACAGACAGACAACTGGTTTTATGTTGCCTCACTTCCGCAATTCCGCACTTTGGAGCCGAGTTGAGGACAAATGTTAATGTTTGTGTTGCCAAATGTGTATGTGAGTGTATTGATAAGCCACCCAGACGCAGCTCATCAATCACAGCCGCCGGAGCACAGGCATGTGGCTAAGCTGCTTGAATTGGAAGTGGCCCAGAGCTCCGATTGAGCCCTTCATAAGAGAGACGTCTTCCACTCGGTGGTCGCAGCCACTCGGTGGTGGCATTTGAATTGTAATAATGTGACGATTGCGTTAATTGTTGAGGCTGGAAAAGCGGCTTACCGCCCAAGCGAAGGGTCATCGTCGTCATTAACAACGCATCCATCTAAGGTGAAGAATAATACCCGTGCGACCCGAGTGAGACGAGGCATGGGACACGCACCAACAAAAGGTGAGAGCGGCCCACGACTGAAAGCAATAATAACAATAATTTAATTAAATAATTTCGAGCTAGGGCAGCTGAGCAGCGGACATGTCGCGCTCTCTGCACTTGCAGCTATATGTGAAAGTGTTTGTTTATTTGCCGGGCGTGGCCTGTTTTGGCCTGGCCAAATGATGTCACTAACGACAGTTGTCAGCCGTATGCTAAAAACTGTCTGTGGACGCAAGAGATCTATGCCCAGCTGCCGCAGCGACAAGTGGAAAGTGTACACAAGAGAGAGTGAGACGGAGAGAGAGAGAGTGAGAGAGAGAGGGAGAGCAAAGTTATTTAACTTTCTTCTTGAACGCATTGCGTAACTCAATCTGACGGCCTAGGCATTCTAAAATTGACCAGACTCTTAGCCAACTGCCCTGAAGTGTCAAACATAATAAACGATTTGGGTAAGAGCTAAAAAGCAGCCGAAAAAGATTTGCTGTGAAAATCAATTTGACAAAGCTGCGCTGCGGCTTGACTGAGGCGTGAGCCATTGATTAGCATATTTATGAGTAAAAGTGAAATTAATGAACAGCTAGGCACAGAGACCGAAAGTAAAAAAGGTTCGCTAATATTGACAGAGTTCATCCAGCCAACATCTAATGCGACTTATTGGCAGAGCCAGAGCGTTGCTGCACCCCCCAAGGTTGCCAGGCCACAAAATACTGTAAGATAGTGACTCAATGCCATCCTAGCCCACACTGATTCATGGCTCGTGCTCACTTCAAAGCTCATAAACATATGGCTGTTCCCGTGGATAAGCGGCTCGAATGGTTTCTTTCTCATCAGGTTGCCAAGCTGCCAGGTTGCCGATTTGCCAATTACCAGTTGCTAGCTTTTTGACTAAAACATGTTAAATGACTTTCTGACACTTTCCCATGAGTTGGCCAATATTTGCACGTGCTAATGCCACAATTCATTTTTCCAGCCCACATAGAATATGCCGCAAACATGAAGACAAAAAACATTGCTGGGCCATTGTTCACGTTTTCAGTTATTGAGAGCGAACTGTTATTGATTCTGTGGTTTCAAATACTAAGTAACTTTCATTTCGTTTTGCCATTTGATTTTGCTGCCTTTGAATGATTGTGGTCGAAGTTGAGGGCAGCAGGCCAGGCCAGCCCCCGCTCCACTCAGTTTCTGGTCGTTGGGCACACGGCTCAATGGCCACGTTTGTCACCAGAAATTAATAACAATGTGCCGGTTAGTTGGACAATTCTGGGCTATGACTTTCTCGTGCGTAAACCGGCCAAAGAAACTCGCTCGCCGCCAATAAATAAATACTACACCCCACTGATTTAGCAAAGTCGATGGACTAGTTTGTGAAACTCCGCAATTGATGGTTTAGCTCATGGGACAACTTTTTAAATGCTGTCGATATATAAGATACGAATAATGAATTTTATTAAATATATTTTAATATCATTCAAGAGTTTTCCCAGATCAAATATTTATTGTATATATTAATATTTTCACTCTAAATTAATCGGATACTTAATTGATGTTTCAATGATGAGTTTGCGTGCTGTGAATCGAAAGATATTTTACTATACTGATCGATCATGATAGACCAAACGAAGAGGAGAATATTTAGTTCGTAGGTTTTACAAATATTTTAAGTACATCGAGAGCCAAACATCTCTAGATGATTGAGTTTGCGTCTGTGTCTGTGTTTTAAAATATTTCTGTTACAGATTGTACATATTAATGTTGAATAATTCGAAATAAATATTGCATGAATATTTGAATATTCATTTAATATTTATCGATTTTCGAAGCTCTACAAACATATTGTAATTAAGCCCAAAGTATATTTTATAGCCAGGAGAAGGTGAGAAATTTCTAAATTTAGCATGCAAAGCTTTTATGAGCTCTCTCTCTCTCTCTCTCTCTCTCTCCTCTGCCTTGATGACTTAGTAAATTTAGCTAAAAACCCGAATCGAAGGGAGGTATTGCCTTGACGTCTTTGTTTGCCGCACGTGTTGTCTCTCTAATTGCCCATTAAGCTAATAATTTGAGCCACATACTGAAGGGAAGGCGTGGCTGCAATCACCTCTGTGGAAAAGTAGCGCTTCTAGCTGGGGTGGTCCAAGGTATTCCGTAATGGCTCGTAAAGCATTCAATGAATGGGCATTTTTTTGCATCTGCTGTCTTGGCTCTGCAGTTGCAGTTCGCTTTTTGCCCATCAAAAACGAAAGTCAATTTGGCTGGGTCAGCCGGACTGACTTCGGCATTTCCGTTAATCTATGCTGCAGGGCTATGACATTTATTGTTCGCGATGATGATAAAGCACAAATGGAAGAGATTAGTAATCTTTGGGGCTGCCGACATTGACGAGTCGTAGCCGGCACAGGGTTAAATGGAGTCTTAGTTTAGGTTTTTCACACTCGCTCAGTTTTCATTAGCCTTTCAAATTTCCGTGTAAAAGAGAAAATCGCTTGTGGCTTTGTCACTCT